CACTCATCGTACACTGCCTTATGGGGCTACACGGAAAAAGGTTGGGATACCCCACCAACGATTTCTGTCGCAGTTGCAGAAACGAGGAAGAGCTGGGTAGCATCGAGCATTATCTCTTCCATTGTCCTGCCCTGGCCAACACGTGCAAGCAATTCTGAGTAAAAAGGTGAATATTTTTATGAAAATTTTTTGAATTTTTCTAAATTTGCGCCGAAAATAAAATTTCGTAAAAATGCTACGAAAAATTTTCGTAGTTTTGGTTTTTGTACAATGTACGAAACTTTCGTTCATAATACGAAGACATTTTGCGCAACGAAACAAGATTTCACGAACCATTCGTAAATATAACGAAAGGACTTTCATAATGCATTTTTTCAGTACTATTATGAGAACTTTCGTTTATTTTACAAACCACATGCGTAAATTACTGAACAAATCTCTGTACCAATAATTGTGTCATTCATAATATTTACATATGTTTTTAAAATATACGAAATCTACAATTCTGTATTCATAAAATTTACTAAATACTTTCATACATAGTACTAATTAGGGATGCCAAAATATCAGGAAAATTGGGATCCCGGGATTTCGGGATATTTTTTAGGTAATCCCGGAATCCCGGGATTCAAATTGCGTCATAAATTTTATGAATATGAGTAAAAATTCAATATCTGAAAGCATTTAAACATACCATTAAATAAAACTATTTAAAATTTACGATAAACTGATTGTAAAACTCATACATCGCTAGCTTAGAGTGAAAAGTTGCTAACTTCACATTTAATGAAAAATCATATTTTGATATAGGAGGCTAGATAAATTAATTTTGCATCGTTTCGAAAAGGGTAAAGGTCCTTGTTTTATGTTTTCTCGTTTATATTCAATGAAAGGAAAATTTGCCTCCGATTCGTATGGAGTTTTGCTTTGCTTTAAACAGGCAAAATGTTGTATTCAAAGTTTTGCGAAATACTTGAAGAAAATGGTTATACGAAATTTTTTCCTCTCCCGTACAATTTTTAAATTGGGACTTAGTAACTTTGCACTCTACGCTAGCGATATTTATTAAATCAGACAAATTTTAAAGTAAAACATTTTTTTAATTGTATTTAAAAAACCATGTGATTGAGGAACGTATACATCACAAATAATAATGAAAATACCAGGTACTTTTGAAAGTGACGATTAATAAAAAAAACATAAAACAAAAATATACAAAAACAATTTCTCTAAACATGTTTATTCTACTCTATAAAGAAATGGCGAATGAAGAATTTTTTTGCCTTTTTTTCGCAATTTACTAGAAATTTTGAGGGTGTACCTGTCAAACGGATCTCAGAGTCGGATTCAGCGGGTCAAAATACATGTTGGTAGGTGGGTCTGGTTAAAAACACACACCCCTCTTTTTGCCGGTGTTGTTATTATTGCACTTAAAATGTTTTCGTAAGAGCAGCAAAGCATTCAAAGCGGAGTCTTCTAAGCTTGACCTGCAGTTTTTACATACAAAACCTACTGATGAGAAACATATTTCGGCATCAACACTTTTAGGCTGAACTGCCAAAAGGTAGACATAATCCATTTGAAGATAATGACCCCTATCTCCTCCATAACAAAATATTTGAACTTCTTTTACCAGCACGTTTCTCGTTTTTCGATTTGAGGAAGTTTTGAGTAGATTGATCTAAAAAATTATCTAACTTTTCCTTAAAACTCTCTGTTTCGTTTACATTAGCGACGCTATGAGTAAATTCATTTAAATCTTCTTCAAAAAAGGCTCAGACTGCAATTTAAAAGTACAGTTTCAAGCTTTTTGTTAATTGCAGTCAAAACGGCATTTTACAAAAATCATACTTCAAAATTCATAAACAAATTCTTACTATCAATTCGATATTTCAAAATTTTCTGGATCCCGGGATTAATGCAAACAAATCCCGAGATTTCCGGGACGTCAAAAACACCGGGATCCCGGGATTGGCATCCCGAATATGTACATATGTAAAAATGTAGTTTCGATTTAAAAAAATCGGATAAAGTTTTTCTTTCGCCATTCATACACCTCTAATTTTAGTATTTTTAAAAAAAAAACTCAATGAAATTCAAAAACTATCTCTTGCAGTTGGTTTTACTCAATACCGATTTGAGCTGTCGCACAGTGTTATCATAACAAAAAAAGCTGTAAAGCTGTCAATGGGTAGGTTCAGAAGGGGCAGCAGTTGAGCGCAACCGTTGCTAAAAAAAATCAGTGATCGTTATGCGTCTTCCGAACGACTTCTTACATTAGCTGTCAAATTCAACTCTCAAAGGTACACACCAACATGGTGTCTCAAATGATCAGAACAATATTACGATCATCTAACACGCAACTATTCAGTTGATCAGAAGTACGCAACAACGCGTTCAGAAGGTGCAATGGCACCAGTTACTGAGCTGTTGCGCCTTCTGAACGTGCCCAATGAAAATTCGTTTCTCTTGAAATCACGTTATATGGCTGCGTATGTATGTACATTAAAGTGGTCCAAAAATGTATGTAAAAAAATAAGGTCGGAATTTTTATGCCGGCACCCCCTAGGATTGTTCTATATCGAAACAAGTAAGGAAGTCTAAGTTCGGGCGGAGCCGAACATTAAATACCCGGCGCAAGTATTAAATATATGTTTTCCACCTTTCCGAAAGCTACCGCTACATGATAAGCCGGGGTGTATACATTTTAAGTAAATTAGCGTCCTTAAATTTCGAAATATTGAAATTTCAAGCATTTTTGAAATTTACCGTTATATGAAAAGCGGCCTCAATTTTAGTCCGATTTCAACAATTTCCAACGGTTTGCTTTTATGTGGCAAGCACAATAACCATACCGAGCTTGGTACAAATTGCTAGAACGGCTAGCGAGATACATATCACAAGTGGGCGGTGCTACGCCCATTTTCCAAAATTTTGTCATAAACGTATTTCTTGGTAAAGAATTGTTGCAATCATCAATTTTGAATAAATTAGCTTCAATATTTACTGATTCATCGAAGATTTTGTATTTCTCGAAATTACCGTTATATGGGATGTGGGCGTGGTTATTGTCCGATTTTAGAAATTTTCGGCCATTTGTTATGTTGTACCAGGACCAACAACTGTGCCAAGTTTGGAAGAAATTGGTGTAGCGGTTACCAAGATATACACATGTAACCATAAGTGGGCGTGGCTACGCCCATTTACCAAAATTTTGTAATATTCTTATTTTTCGTCTAAAACTTATTATAAATATCAATTTTGAGTGAATAATCTCCAGTAGTTACTAAAATATCGCAGTTTTCGTATTTCTGAAAATTACCGTTATATGGGAAGTAGGCGTGGTTATTGAGCGATTTTAAAAATTTTCGGCCATTTGGTATGTTATGCGAAGGCCAACAACTGTGCCAAGTTTGGAAGAAATTGGTGCAGCGGTTACCAAGATATACACATGTAACCATAAGTGGGCGTGGCTACGCCCATTTTCCAAAAATTTACAATATTCTTATTTTTCGTCTAAAAATTATTGTAAATATCAATTTTGAGTGAATTATCTTCAGTAGTTACTAAAATATCGCAGTTTTCGTATTTCTGGAAATTACCGTTATATGGGAAGTGGGCGTGGTTAAAGTCCGATTTCGCCCATTTTCAATACCAACCTACCTTGGATTAAGGGAAACCTACATACCAAATTTCGTTGAGATATCTCAATTTTTGCTCGAGTTATCGTGTACACGGACAGACGGACAGACGGACAGACGGACGGACAGACAGACATGGCTTAATCGATTTCTTTTTTCAGCCTGATCATTTATGTATACATTTGTCTATATCTATCTCGATTCGTTTTGGCTGTTACAAACAACCGTTATGTGAACAAAATTAATATACCCTTGTGCACAAGTGCGCTCGGGTATAAAAAATATACCCCTATTTTTTTATTTTGAAATAAAAATAAAAATAGGGAGTGCTCAAAGCGCTCAAAATTTTCCATGTATTTTATATGGGGGAAAAACAACTTTTAGTAGAAATAGTGTAGAATTCTTGAAAATCAACAGTTTTCGATCGGAAAACTTTTCTTATCTTCAGGAGATTCCCAGTAATAATACGCAGTTGTCTCTTTAACCATTTTTTCATAGTAACTATATTTTATAGGTCCTCCAAAACCCCTAGAAAATGCAATGGAAAAATCTTTAATCATAAAAAATGGTTAAATAAACAATTTGATATTAATACTGGAAGTCTCCTGAAGAGAACCACAGTTTTCCGATTGAAAAATATTGATTTTTAAGAGTTTTATACCATTTCTACGAAAAATGGTTTTCTGCAAAAATGTTAAGAAAATTACAACCTAAAATAATGTTTGTTTCATGTCATTTAAATTTGTTTATTTCGTTTAAAATAAAATGGCCTAAGAAAAAAATAATTATTTATTGCCATCTAAAGCTTTTTAATAAATAAAGTTGCAAAACTGGATTGTTTTTTATTTCCTCATCTCTATAGATTGATATTCTTCAAAGGATCTTTAAATGCTTAATAAGAACTTTCAAATTTGTTTATCGATCACATCAACTTGGAATTTTTTATATGTACATCTTACTCTTCTATTAAATCCCAAATATTTCATAAAAATCTCCCTTCTCAAAAAATTTCAATGTGGCAAAGCTATGCTTAATGTTTACATCTGGAGAAATGTCAAAAATCTGCTTTATAATCAAAAAATAGTAGTAACATATAAAAAAACTAAAAAATTTTCATCTTTACACATTCATGTTTCTGGCATGCGGGGAACGATATGTACTTGCCGATTTGTTTTACAAAAATTATTTAAAAAGCAGACGTCTCGCTTTTTTTAACGTATTCTTAAAATGTATAAACCTAAATGTAAATTTTATAGGAAATTAAACTAACAATTTATTATAACTAGTAGTAACCCCCGAAATGCGGGTGACTACTTAGCTCAAAATTTATTTAAAGAACTTCGTGAAAGACAACCATGACTATTACGGTATCCGACGAATGCCACTCCCGCGAATGGCATTCGATTCGCATTCCCCTCGCATGTTGAAGTTTGCGGTATTCCCATAAACGTCGGATGGCTGCTTTATCGACTCACGCAGCGGATTGTGTCAAACGCTTTTTGACATTTCTCGAATTGTCATTTTTAATTAATTTGTGTTTGGAAAAAATTAAATTTGTGTTAAAATGGATTCGATTGCTTTTTATTTTAACAATGATGAAGATGAAAGTAGTTCCGCAAGTGTAAGAAGGTCCGTGAGGGATAGAGCACCTAACATTTTTAAACTGACAGACATAGAGTAAGCAAAATAAGTATAAAAGTTTGATCACACATGCGAATATACACTTTTGTCTCCAACAGGTTTATTAAACAATTTCGAGTAAATAAAAATGCATATAAACATATTTCAAGCATAATTTGCGGTAAAATTCCTCCCGTGATAAAATCCACAGCAATTAGTCGGCAACAAAAGCTATCTTTATGTCTGCGAATCTTAGCAGAAGGAAGCTACCAAAATGCTGTTGGCAAAGACTACATGCTTGGTATGGCTCAACCAACAGTTTCTAAGATATTTTCAGAGGTTATTGATATTCTGGAAAACGAGTTGTGTGATAAGTGGTTGAATTTAAAAATGAATGACGAGGAGCAAATGGAGTCTCGGAGTTACTTTTACAACAAATCGAAAATTCCCGGGATTGTAATGTGCATTGATGGTACGCACATAAGGATAGCAAAACCTACAGGCTCAAACTCTCACCTTTTTTATAATAGAAAAGGCTTCTATAGTCTCAATGTGCTTGTTGTAAGTTTGTACATTTTTTTTGCAATAGTTTTATATATTTTTTTTTTCATGGTTTAGATATGTGATCATAAACAGCGCATAAGGTACGTTAACGCGAAATACCCAGGGTCAGCTCACGATTCATTTGTTTGGTCTAACAGCGACGTATCACAATACTTCCAAGCACAATATGAAGGTGGTAATCGAAATCTGCGACTATTAGGTATAACTATAAATTATATAATTTACTATTCAACTTCATATTCTTTACATATAATAATTTTTTATTTAATTCTTAGGTGACGCAGGGTACGGTCTCGCACCCTGGCTTATAACTCCTTTTCGGAACCCTGCACCTAATACTCCTTCAAGTCGCTTTAACAAATGGCATAGTTCTGGGCGAAACATTATAGAGAGAACTATTGGTGTTTGGAAAAACTGGTGTAGATGTCTTCTGTCTGCGCGCCAACTTCATTATTCTCCTGAAAAGGCTGTGAAAATAATCAATGTAGCTGCGGCACTACACAATTTACGCATTCACTACAATATCCATGATGAGTATCTTGATCACGTAACTAATGAGGAAGATTCAGACACCGATTTCCAAGAAATCGAGCGACCGGAGAGGTATTATACTGAAGCAGTTCAACTACGTAATCAAATGCTCCAAAGTTTTTTGTCATAAGTTTTATTTTATTATAAATAAAATTGCTGCCTTCATGGCTAAAGCTAAACTAAATATGTATTGCTGCCTTCATGGCTAAAGCTAAACTAGATATGTATTGCTGCCTTCATAGCTAAACTTAAACTATATCTACTACTTCTTTAGCGCATTTTTCACTCCCTGTATCTCCAATTCTAAAAGTTGCTCCTTAACTTTGGTCTTGTGCCGCAATAATTGTTCCGTTACCAAATTATGTCTTTTTGTCTCGGCAACTAAGTTCCCTAGTATGGAGCGCATACCCTCAACGTTGTTGTTGAGACTGCTCATTGTTTTTTGCATTTTTTTTTAATTATTTGCTACATCTTCCATTTTTCTTTTTTGACTTTTTAAATTACATACGACGTTGTCGTAATATTTTTTTTGCATATCCAACTGAGTTTTAAGGAGCGTCAATTGGGTTCTCCTTTGTGGCACTCTCTGTTGGGGTTGCGGAGACGTAGGTGAAGAACTGTTTCCATTTGAATTTTCAGCATTTTCCATATTATCAGCTTCTTCCCTGTTTACTGCACCACTGGTAGGTGGCTCGGAAGCTGCGCTGTCTATGTGGCTACCACGAGATGGGCCTTGTGGCGTACCACAGTGCCTGCCGGAGACTCCCGCAACGGCGTCATAAATATTCACCAGCTGCGCAACTTCCTCTTCCAAAGCAGTCAATTGTACCTCCCTATTTGGACCTCCACCTGTTGCTCGCATTTGTATTCGATTGTTAGACAATTTTTTCTTTATGGAGGATTTAAAATCTGACCATACCTGAAAATAGTTCAAGTTTAATAAAATTGGTTTATAAATAATCAACTTTCTTACTTTTTTCCACTCGGCAAGGGACTTTGTTGGAGGTCCTAACGCATTTAAGTCCGTGCTAAGTGATGTCCAGAACACGGATACTACCTCTGGTGGCTCATTGGACATACTTTTGGCAATGCCCCCGTTGAGCTTCATCCGTTCAGCCATTAAAGCGAATTGTTCTCGGTTTGTGGTACGACTTCTGTTAGAAAACATAATAAGCACATATAATTTACTAAAAAATGTTAAAAATAAGTCACCTTTTATTGAACTCCATCTTATTGCGTGATATTTTCAATTTTTTTTATTAAATCCGCAACAATTATTCAGCGAATGACACTTAGAGCAAAAGACACTTATTGCGTTTCGATTACGATTATGGGAATACAGTGAATCCGCGAACTGCTTTGTCAACAAATTTTTATTCGCGAACTCCATTGCCGATCGGTTATGAGAATACCAGATCTTCTCAATTCGATTCGCATTCCCCGCGGATGGCATTCGTCGGATACCGTAATAGGCATGAACAATTAATCTTGTATTGCTAGACACCTGATAACCCAGGATAATTTTTAGTCTTAATCTGAAACGCAATAATCATTGAAAATTGGCGACGGTGACCGAATCGTTATTTTTTATAAGCGCCACATAACCTTCGATTCTAAAAAAACCTAACTTTTCACATCTTAAAAGCAACGAAAGCTCTCCACCATTTTTGAGCAAAGCCGGATGCGTTTTGACGTGAATGATCCATATAAATCCTATATATATTGTATATATATGTAATTATGTGGTGGGTCAATTTGTGTGGGTGGTAATTCTAAGCGAATTTGCCGAAGAAACCATGGATCAAAAATCAATTTGGAGTTTGCCAAATTGCAAAAATATGTTTCTTAGCACTTTGCTGCAGTGCCGTTAGAAAGTGCTTCGGTTTCGTTTAAAAACATGCTATACGCGATTTTTTGGTATTAGGAATCCTTTTCTGGATTTATCTTTTACTTATAAATTTCACCAGAGGACGCAAAGTGAAAAATTTCACATTTACTTCGAAACCTATTTTCGCAATTTGGCAAACTCCAAATTAATTTAAGACCTATTGTTTCTTCAGCAAATTTGCTTAGAATTACGTGTAGAACCCTTCTATGCTATACGCGTGTTTCTTCATCTAAAAGCATTTTATGTATAATAGATACATATAGCGCGGGATTTCTGTTATAACTTTAGTACAAAACGGGATTTATGTTATATTTGGACGGGATTTTATTAACGAAGTTACCGGCAACACTGGTTGGGGGTACTGCACTAAATTTTCGGATAACACTAGTAGCTAATGTAGTGCAAAATTTTTGACTTCTACCCTTGATGATTTTTCAACAGATATCGTGTATATAAATATAAAAATCACCGCAATTTAAAATTTTTAGAGTTTTTATATTTTTAGTTTCTTGAAGTTTCCCCTTTTTAATAATTCCATTCATGGAATTCCAAAATTTTCTTAACCTTCAAAACTTTGTGAATTTGAGAAATTTTGGTAAATCCCAATAATTCAATATAATGATGAATACTAGATTTCTAGAAATTTTGTATTTTTCAAAAATTTTGAGAATTGTAGGAATTCTAACAAAATTTTTCTAAGTAAAAGTGTCGAATATACAAAATTGATCAAACGAAAATAAAAGTTTTCGAATGTCGAAAACATTTTTATATTTCGTCGTTTTTGAAAATTTAAAAAATTATCGTAATTCTTGAAGATTCAAACAATTTTTGGACGTTGATGTTTTCAAAATTTTCAAAAAATTTAAAATTCGCAAACTTTGTTATATCAATACAAAATTTTGGAAAAGTTCAGAAAAGTGGAACAATTTTGGAATTTTTCGAAAATGTTAATATCTTTTAGAATTCTTAGAATTTTCTATTTTTTACACACAAGTACCATGAACATAATAATTTTTCGACAATTTGTGATGTTTCACATTTTTACATTTATGATGGATTTTAGGATAAATAAAGTTCTCAAAATTTTGGAAAATATCTAAAATCTCAATAATTTTGTACATTTCAAAATATTCTCATTTTACCAAAATTCCTAGAAACTCCCGGATTTCGATAGTTTTTGAAATTTTGGAAATTATCCTAAAAATAAGAAATCTCAAGAAATTTAATAATACTATAAAACTCAAAACTTTGGAATTTTCGTTGTTTTCTGAACCTGTGAAAATATTCAAACTTACTGTGACTTTCAACTGTGTAAAATAATACAAATTCGAAAATATAACAAAAAAAGTAAAAATTGAACATTAACGCCCGTATGCTGTAATCCGAAAGTTCGTAGTTACGAATTCGTAGCTCCGTTCCGAAAATTCGCAAATTGGTATGCTGTAATCCGATCGTAACTATCAACGGCGCTCCCAACTAAAATAGTGAAATTCGAAGTTCTTTATCAGCTGCTTTGACACAAACAAATCAAAATAAATATAATCGCAAGTGAGCAGTGAAATTAAAAAAAATAATTAATCGTATTTGAAAAGGCTTTCCCTTAATTAAGTAAAATATAATGGATGCAGTGGCCGGTGCACTTTTGTCTCAGGAGAAAGAACGTGCTGCAGCCAACTGTTGCATTAATATACAAAGGAGATCGCTACGAGACAGTTCTGATCCATTTAGCTTAAATGATAAATGTATGCTCCCTCTTTTTAAGGGCGTCCATTCAACTAGATATTGTGCCGCTTTAATTCTTGCAAAGCTTTCCCAAAATGCCACCACATCACATCCTCTTTAGCTACTTTTACAAATCCAAAGCCGGGCAATGTCCGGCCTTTCGCTCATGCATTCCACCAGTTTTTCGCATTGCGAGCGATTTATTGTGATCTTCGACTTGATAATTGTGTAAGCATTTAATAATAAATTTTTTTTTATTCACACTTCAACTTACATACATATATTTGCGTTTACACACTTTATTTTATTGATATTTTAATACAATTTGTTTCGCTCCGACACGAGCTGCTATTCGTACAAAACTTCCGGCAAATACATAAAAATGACAGCTACGTCGCATCCAGGCATACCAACATTACGAATTTCGAAGATGGCCTACTAATTTCGAAACTACGATACGACAACACGGATTTCAGCATACCAATTTTAAGATTCGTAGCAAAATCGAATCTACGACGGATTACAGCATAGGAGTGTAAGTACATAATTTCAAAATTTTGAAAATTCAGTGAATTCGAAAAACTGATAGGCCTACTTAAATAACATAATACTTCAAACTTAGCACACAGATAAAATTTCAAACTCAAGTGATTGCACACTTTTTCCATGAATTAAAATGTTCAAAAGCATCAATTCATTCGGTTTGTTCCTCAAGCTTCTCGAAGTCACTTCGAGTTACATATACGCGCTCCGCAAGTAAGTTTTCGAGTTTTTTGATATACGCTCACAGTTTGAACTTTGCCCGAGTTTTTCTACAAGTAGCTTGTGGGACAAACCTATTAAAGGATGAACACACCAAAACTGCGACACTTTGGGAAGCTTATAACTTACCCGAAAAGATTTCAATATTTTGAAATTCAAATACCATAAGTTGACCATGACCTTAGTTTGACGTAGAAGATATTTCATTTGAATTTGATTCCTAGTTGAGTTAAAAATGGCAACCGAGTTGGAACCGAGACAAACCATTTTGCACGAGTTTATACATGATCCGACCTTAAGTACACCCTAAAAATTAAAGATTGCACTATTCGACAGTTAGCGGGGTTTTAATCGGTAAAAATAAGGCCTGGCAGTTACGAGAAAGCCAGAGAGCGGGGGCACAGAATAAACAGTATACAGAAGACGCACCACATACAAATTTATTTTTCTTCGGCGGACGTAATATTACAACCCGGACCAGAGCAGAGAAGTTAACATTACGACCACTATGAATAACATGGCGACCCGGAACAGAGCAGAGGAGTTAACATCACGTCCACTATGAATAACATGAAGTTAACATCTCGCCATAAACACACATCGTGATCAGCGTTGCCGCGAGCTGGAAAAAAATGTATCAGTTTCCAAGCAGAAAAAGTATCAAAAGCAAACAAAACTGTTGTTTATTAAACTATTATTTAAAAAACAAATAATAAATAAAATTTTATAATTAAATCCATAGTTATAAAAAAAATTATATATCTTGCTTTTGTCTGCTTATTTGCATAATGAAAAACAAACTTATAGGGCCCCTAAACCACACAAAATCCTTGCGCAACCCGAGACTTGTACAAGTCAATATTGTGGAATTTACTACAGCATAAAATTGCGCAAACCTTATTTTGAAGAAACGTTGCTCAAGTAAATATGTGCAAGAAATATGAATGTGCGTTGTATATATTGATAGCTTCATCTTTAAAACGTAAAAAAAAACTAAATTCAAAAAAATATATTTTTTTCGATATTTCGTAATGTTTTTGTGTGGTTTAGGGGTCCTATAACAGTTATAAGAGTTACCCAATCAACTTATAAATATCT